TTGTAAGTTATTATTAATTCTTATTAATTATTATGAATTATTTTTATTATTATTATTAAATCAATTAATAAATATTAAGATTATTGATAAGTTTGAAAAGGAGAAACAAGGTGATCAATTTGTATAATTGTGAATAATTATATGGTTTGAATAAATACTAATATTAAATAAATTACTAGATCTTACAGCCCGAATTCAAGATCTTGAGAATAAAGTTAACGAACTCGAAGGAAAATTAGAATCCGCAAAAAATTTCATAAAAAATAATAGAGATCGTAACGATCAATATATCAATAATAATTTTTCTTAATTATAATAGAGATCGTAGCATTAATATATAATAATTTTTTATAATTTTAATAAATATTATGTTTTGCATTTAATCACATGATCCGGAATTAATATAACCCGTCATTAATCAGAAAAAGAAACAACTTGGTTGTCCGTTACACGAATATGTACGTGACGTTTTGTGTACCCGAATAATTTCACAGATCTGATATGATAATCACGTTTATTATATATTACATAAGTTTCCTATTAGACACTATAACTCTTCGTCCATTCGTTGCTACAATATGGTAAATACGAAATTTTGTAAAAGTGACTTGAGCAAAATAATTGTAAATTAACTCAACCATTATTAGGCTGGTGCATTAAATAGAGCAAAAGAAACTTTACCAAAGTTAAAAGATTCTGAAAGAGAGAGCGAATATGGATATGTGTTTGCCGTCTCTGGTCCAGGTATAAACGGCCTCTTTATCAATAATAATGGCTTCATATATCAGTTTACTTAGTATTTACAAGGAAGAATTTTTGGGAATCTAGTCGTAACCGCGGAACAAATGACTGGAACAGCTATGTATGAGCTGGTATGTTATTTTTTATTTATATAAAGTTATAATTTTTTCATTTAGTGAATACTCTGATAAGCAAAATTTTTCGCGTTGATGTATTGTAAAGGTTAGAGTTGGTCATGAAGAGCTTGTTGGAGAAGTTATTCGTATAGATGGTGATAAAGCGACTATTCAAGTTTACGAAGAAACTTGTATGAAATCATTACGAAATACAAATTGACAAAATTTATATATATGACTCTAAAAGAATATCCATTTGCGTTTATCAGCTGGTTTAACTGTAG